GCCTTACTATACTTTGACATTTTTATGACTTTTTATGCCATACAATACCATGACTTTTTATGCCTTACTATACTATGATGTTTTAATGACTTTTTATGCCTTACTATACTATGACGTTTTTATGACTTTTTATGCCTTACTATACTATGACGTTTTTATGACTTTTTATGCCTTACTATACTATGACGTTTTTATGACTTTTTATGCCTTACTATACTATGACGTTTTTATGACTTTTTATGCCTTACTATACTATGACGTTTTTATGACTTTTTATGCCTTACTATACTATGACGTTTTTATGACTTTTTATGCCTTACTATACTATGACGTTTTTATGACTTTTTATGCCTTACTATACTATGACGTTTTTATGACTTTTTATGCCTTACTATACTATGACGTTTTTATGACTTTTTATGCCTTACTATACTATGACGTTTTTATGACTTTTTATGCCTTACTATACTATGACGTTTTTATGACTTTTTATGCCTTACTATACTATGACGTTTTTATGACTTTTTATGCCTTACTATACTATGACGTTTTTATGACTTTTTATGCCTTACTATACTATGACGTTTTTATGACTTTTTATGCCTTACTATACTATGACGTTTTTATGACTTTTTATGCCTTACTATACTATGACGTTTTTATGACTTTTTATGCCTTACTATACTATGACGTTTTTATGACTTTTTATGCCTTACTATACTATGACGTTTTTATGACTTTTTATGCCTTACTATACTATGACGTTTTTATGACTTTTTATGCCTTACTATACTATGACGTTTTTATGACTTTTTATGCCTTACTATACTATGACGTTTTTATGACTTTTTATGCCTTACTATACTATGACGTTTTTATGACTTTTTATGCCTTACTATACTATGACGTTTTTATGACTTTTTATGCCTTACTATACTATGACGTTTTTATGACTTTTTATGCCTTACTATACTATGACGTTTTTATGACTTTTTATGCCTTACTATACTATGACGTTTTTATGACTTTTTATGCCTTACTATACTATGACGTTTTTATGACTTTTTATGCCTTACTATACTATGACGTTTTTATGACTTTTTATGCCTTACTATACTATGACGTTTTTATGACTTTTTATGCCTTACTATACTATGACGTTTTTATGACTTTTTATGCCTTACTATACTATGACGTTTTTATGACTTTTTATGCCTTACTATACTATGACGTTTTTATGACTTTTTATGCCTTACTATACTATGACGTTTTTATGACTTTTTATGCCTTACTATACTATGACGTTTTTATGACTTTTTATGCCTTACTATACTATGACGTTTTTATGACTTTTTATGCCTTACTATACTATGACGTTTTTATGACTTTTTATGCCTTACTATACTATGACGTTTTTATGACTTTTTATGCCTTACTATACTATGACGTTTTTATGACTTTTTATGCCTTACTATACTATGACGTTTTTATGACTTTTTATGCCTTACTATACTATGACGTTTTTATGACTTTTTATGCCTTACTATACTATGACGTTTTTATGACTTTTTATGCCTTACTATACTATGACGTTTTTATGACTTTTTATGCCTTACTATACTATGACGTTTTTATGACTTTTTATGCCTTACTATACTATGACGTTTTTATGACTTTTTATGCCTTACTATACTATGACGTTTTTATGACTTTTTATGCCTTACTATACTATGACGTTTTTATGACTTTTTATGCCTTACTATACTATGACGTTTTTATGACTTTTTATGCCTTACTATACTATGACGTTTTTATGACTTTTTATGCCTTACTATACTATGACGTTTTTATGACTTTTTATGCCTTACTATACTATGACGTTTTTATGACTTTTTGTTCCCTACTATACTATGACTTTTTATGCCATAATATACTATCACGTTTTCATGACATTTTTATGCCTTATTATACTTTGACATTTTTATGAATTTTTATGCCTTACTATAATATGATATTTTATGCCTTACTATACTATGACGTTTTTTTGACTTTTTATGCCATACTATACTATGACGTTTTTTATGACTTTTTATGCCTTACTATATTATGTCGTCTTTAATCCTTACTATACTATGACGTTTCTATGACTTTTTATGCCGTACTATACTATATCGTTTTTATCACTTTTTATGCCTTACTATATTATGTCGTTTTTATTCCTTACTATACTATGACGTTTCTATGACTTTTTATGCCGTACTATACTATGTCGTTTTTATCACTTATTATGCCTTACTATACTATTACTTTTTAAGTCATACTATACTATGACATTTTTATGACATTTTTATGCCTTACTATACTATGACTTTTTATGCCATACTATACTATGACATTTTTATGACTTTTTATGCCTTACTTATACTATGACTTTTTATTCCTTAATATACTTTGACTTTTTTTTTTACTTTTTATGCCTTACTATACTATGAAATTTTATGCCTTACTATACTATGATGTTTTTTTGTCTTTTTATGCCATACTATACTATGACATTTTTATGAGTTTTTATGCCTTACTATACTATGACTTTTTATGCCATACAATACTATGACGATTTTATGACTTTTTATGCCTTACTATACTATGACGTTTTTATGACTTTTTGTTCCCTACTATACTATGACTTTTTATGCCATAATATACTATCACGTTTTCATGACATTTTTATGCCTTATTATACTTTGACATTTTTATGAATTTTTATGCCTTACTATAATATGATATTTTATGCCTTACTATACTATGACGTTTTTTTGACTTTTTATGCCATACTATACTATGACATTTTTATGACTTTTTATGCCATACTATACTATGACGTTTTTTATGACTTTTTATGCCTTACTATATTATGTCGTCTTTAATCCTTACTATACTATGACGTTTCTATGACTTTTTATGCCGTACTATACTATATCGTTTTTATCACTTTTTATGCCTTACTATATTATGTCGTTTTTATTCCTTACTATACTATGACGTTTCTATGACTTTTTATGCCGTACTATACTATGTCGTTTTTATCACTTATTATGCCTTACTATACTATTACTTTTTAAGTCATACTATACTATGACATTTTTATGACATTTTTATGCCTTACTATACTATGACTTTTTATGCCATACTATACTATGACATTTTTATGCCTTACTATACTATGACATTTTTATGCCCTACTATACTATGACTTTTTATGCCTTCCTATACTATGATGTTTTTTTGACTTTTTATGCCTTACTATACTGTGATTTTTATCCCATAAAATACTATGATGTTTTCATGACTTTTTATGCCATACTATACTATGACATTTTTATGAGTTTTCATGCCCTACTGTACTATGACTTTTTATGCCTTACTATACTATGACGTTTTTAATGACTTTTTATGCCTAACTATACTATGACTTTTTATGCCATACAATACCATGATGTTTTTATGACTTTTTATGCCTCACTATAGTATGACATTTTTATGACTTTTCATGCCTTACTATACTATGACTTTTTATGCCATACTATACTTTGACATTTTTTACAACTTTATGTGCCTTACTATACTATGACATTTTTATGACTTTAATGCCTTACTATACTATGACTTTTTATGCCTTATTATAATATGATATTTTTATGACATTTTTATGCCTTATTATACTATGACATTTTTATGACTTTTTATGCCCTACTGTACTTTTACGTTTTTATGACTTTTTATGCCTTATTATAATATGACATTTTTATGACTTTTTATGCCCTACTATACTATGGCTTTTTATGCCATACTATACTATGACGTTTTTATGACTTTTTATGCCATACTATACTATGACGTTTTTATGACTTTTTATGCCTTACTATACTATGACTTTTTATGCCATACTATACTATGAGGTTTTTATGACTTTTTATGCCTTACTATACTATGTCGTCTTTATTCCTTACTATACTATGACGTTTCTATGACTTTTTATGCCGTACTATACTGTCGTTTTTATCACTTTTTATGCCTTACTATACTATGATATTTTTATGACTTGTTATGCCTTACTATACTATGTCGTCTTTATTCCTTACTATACTATGACTTTTTTTGACTTTTTATGCCTTACTATACTATGACTTTTTATGCCATACTATACTATGACTTTTTCATGACTTTTTATGCCTTACTATACTATGACTTTTTATGCTATAATGTACTATGACGTTTTTATGACATTTTTATTCCTTATTATACTTTGACATTTTTATGACTTTTTAATGCCTTACTATACTATGACATTTTTATGAATTTTTATGCATTACTATACTATGACTTTTTATGCCTTACTATACTATGTTGCTTTTATGACTTTTTATGCCTCACTATACTATGTCGTCTTTATGCCTTACTATACTGATATTTCATGACTTTTTATGCCTTACTATACTATGATGTTTTTATGACTTTTTATGCCTTATTATACTGTGTCCCTTTTTTTGACTTTTTATGCATTGCTATACTGTCGTTTGTTTTAATTTTTATGCCTTAATTTACTATTATGTTTTTCATGCCTTACTATAATGTAGTTTTTTATGAATTTTTATGCCTCTTTGTAACTATACGCTCATGTTTGTTTGTGCTTCACTACACTATGACATTTTTATGCCTTACTACTCGATGATTTACGTATGCGGCATCTTGTTAGAGCAGTGGTTAAAATTGTCACCTCACACCGAGGTTTTGGATTTCAGATGGTTTATCTGTCTTAGCATCACTTCTGAGAAATTGTAATGAGCATTTTTCACCATTTCCTAAAACTTTATAGACCAAACATTTGATAAAAAAATAATACTTTAAAAATACAATAAAAATAAGCATTAGTTGCTAAAAAGGAGTTACACAACAAATCCTCTGCAGTTCAAATGATAATGTTTATTTTGTCAGTGCATAACAAGTAATAAAAAAAACCCAGCAACAGTATGAAACTTAAAATGACAGTATTTTAGTTCAACACTGAAACCATTGCTAAATTACACGCTTGTTCCAACCCAGACCACATCACCACACTCTCACCCTCCAGTAGCTAACACAGTAGCCATGAATGATCAATGTGTCACATTACATACACAGTTCACCTGTACAGCCCGTTCATTAAAGCTTCAAGCAATATAAACTACTTCATATTCTCCTTTCAAAAAAGTGCTCTGACTGTAACGTATGGGGTGGACAAGTGCAAGAACGGAGGAGGTGAGTAAAAATTATATGTATACAAGACATTGCTAAGGGATGTGAGGTGTTTGAGGTCTGAACCACTGATAAAATTGTGATAGGGATGTAAGTCACAGGCATACCAAAAGTTGAAAAGTGCTCACAAAAATACTCAGTCAGACTTATCAAGGTCTTCTGAGTGTAAACGTCCTTCAATACTGGCAGATGGGTTAAAAATGAAAAGCTTGGTTGTAGTTGCACTCACAGTGTGTTACATAACAATCTTTAAGCTTGAAATAAATTAAAAATGTAGAAAACAGAATCTGTCAATTTTCAGACTCAGACCAGATGCCCTGAACGCACAGAGTGCAGGGCTAAAACCTTAGTCTAAACCTTTAGCCATTAACAAAATACTAAAAAGCCTGGTTCAGGCCAGCAAGAGTATACATCTTTGTTAAAGCAGAGAACTAGTGATGCAGACTCACAGCTACTACCACTGAAACGTGAACACATTAAGTTAAACTACAGAGAGTCATTAACTCGTTCTCTTGAGCCAGGCGTGAGGACTTTTGTGGCCAGCTTTCACTATAAATTCTATTTGAGCCTCCACGAGGAGAGAGGTAGGGAGTACAAATACTGCATAACCATATACTGTTGCTTAAACACAGTTAGGGTGTGCAGGGTAAATTAGGGGCCGTTAGATAAAATATATCATCTTACAATTCACAAATCACATGAAAATTTTAGTCATTTGTCAACATTACAAAATCAATTTAGGCACTGAGTCCTGAAAGATGATGTGATTAGCATCAATGTCTCCATCGTTCATATTCATAAAGCCCAATGTGATATCATTGGTCCATGTTTGGGATCAAGGGCGTGCGCTCTGGTAAGCAGACGGCATCACAGGTGACCAGCCATTACACCGCCATCTTCTCTTGGTCGGGGCTGAATCCTGTAGAGCTGGGCGGTGTATGGTGGAGCTTCAGGGAGGGGAGCACTTCCCCTGAGGAATCGGCCAATAGCCAGATGACGTTCCACAGGGACTCGCCCTCTTGCTCTCACTCACTGGCCTTCTTCAGGACAGACGGGGTAGAGTCTGTGAAGGTCCTGAAAGTAACAAGCAAAATGATAATGACAGTGTGGTTGCATTTACGCTGTCTCCGTGTTAATTGGCCTTACCATAGTATGACCTTTTACTATACAATGACTTTTTTATGACTTACTATACTATGACGTTTTTTATGACTTACTATGTTTCAGTTATTTCAGGCGTTGCGTTTACCTGATGGAGTGGACAGGCCAGGTTGACTGCACCGGTGTGGGCACTGCAGAGCTGGGGCTCATTAGCATGGCACTGTAGATGTTGGCTGCAACCACCAGGATGCAAAGGAGGATGGGCCCAATGATGGCACCCTCCAGTCCCAGATAGTACGCTCCACCTGCCACCGCTAGACCTGTTAGATAGGGGTGTCCACCACTGAGACACAGACACAAGAAATGGTGTTAATACTAAGGTATAGTTACAGGACTACATTTTGGCTCATTAAAGGATGGCTTCAGAGTTTTTCATATCTATCTGAATACAATAATCACACACTGTATGTAGATTAAGAAAGTTATAGGTCTCTGTAGTCATTCTTTCCTTCATAGCAGTCTACACTGTAAGAAATGGGCTATGGAATCCACAATCCTAGTTCTGTGCAGAAAAATCTAAAGGTCAACCGTAGCTAATATGAGGCTTCAGCAGTCTGAGTTTGCCAAATCAGGTGGGTAGTATGAAATTCTCTCTGTGTTTCCTTGCTGAGGCACAGCAGAGGGAAACATCCTAGTAATTTAATTGCTGGGACAAAACACCAGCAACAGTCACTGCCAAGACCTCATATTAGCTTTAGCTGAACTTTAGTATACATTTTTACACAGAACATCCCCATTTCTTTCAATGTAGACACACTACAAAGGAATCACCAATGGCTAGTATGTACAGAAGGAATAAAACATGTGAGTACTGTATTACTATGAATTGTGTACATTTAACACTGTGTACATAACCGTTTTTAAACTTCATCACACTGAATAACTACAATAAAGTATGAAGGTGAGACTGTTGCAGGCGTGACTGTTTGGACAGCTTTCTGGTGATTCTCATTCTTGATTTTACTACTCAACAATGCATGTTCTCCCTGTGCCTGTGTGGGTTCTCTAAGTGTACTCTGGTTTCCTCCTGCAGTCCAAAGACATGCACATTAGGTTAATTGGCATCTCTGATTTTTTTTTTTATGTCTTACTATACTAAGACTTTTTATGCCTCTCTATACTAAGACTTTTTTACGCCTTACTACACAATGACTTTTTTATGACTTACTATACCATGATGTTTTTATGCCTTAGTATACTATGACTTATGACATATATGTCCCTATACCAAGAGTGATATTACCATATGTGTCACCTATAAGAGGATATATTATTATGACATATATGCATCCTCTGGATACATAAAGATATAAGTTTATAACTATGATTTTACTTCATATATACATATATTTCATATATGGAAATTCAACACATGTACATATATTACATTTGCGTATGGGAATGCCTGAATGTAAATTCAGATCTTACATGTTAAAAAACTGTTTGGTTGAGAGCATTAAAAAGCCAGTCTCTTTGTTTTGGAGCGGTGGCTGTGTTGTTGCGTCCCTATCAATGTTGAGACCAAACCTACGCCCTTGTGTCACACACATACCTACCCAGAGATATCAGAGTAGATCGCTGTATCTACAAAATATGTCGGAAGCAGATGGCAGATCAGCAGCAGCACGGCTTTGACGCCTTCGCCCTGTGCCAACCACAGGTCACACACTGCCGGCACCGCTGCCCAGTAGGTTCCCAGGAACGGTACCGCACCCAGGATGGCAGCCAGAGCTTCAGGCCAGGAGAGAGGGATTCAGAGAGTGAGAAAATACTTAGTGTGGCTTGGCAGGTGCACATATAGTGCCAGCACAATCTGCTGTGGACACACTGACTCACCAGAAGGAATGAAAACGATGTTGATGCCAAAGATGGTGTGAGTGAGCCAAGTGTAGAGGCCGTAGAAGCCGGCCATTTTCAGAGAGGCGTCAAACACTCCTCTTCAATACAAACACACAGACAAGGTCAAAAATAATCTCCTTGAGATATATTTATAGATTTTGCCACCACAAATATGATGATTTTGTGCATGTGACTACCTGATGGCCTCTTCCACAGACTGGCCTATGATATTGGAGGAGGGTCCTGGCTGGGAGAGAGGGGTCAGGCTGATCACCCATTTGACAGGTTTGTAATATTCACCACTGGAGCTCAGCAGGTAGAAGAGAGTGGTCAGGAAAATCACCTGCATACACACAGGAAATAGCACAAATATGATCGTTAGAATAGGTATGTAAAAAGAAATGAGAATAAAATTAATGAAATTATATTAAATCAATTAATTCCATATATTTTACAAAATGAATGAAAATAAATTAAATAAAACTAAATTTGATTTACTAAAATCCAGTCGACTGAAATAAAATTGAAAAATTAAACTTACTCAATTCAATGAAATAGAAGGTCAAAGAGTTAAAGAGGTTAACGTAAAGAGGGAAGTCAATATAACTATATATAACACTATAATTTAACCTACTAATCTTCATTTAATTCAAGAAGGCATCAGTTGTAACGACTGCACTTGCTACCCTACTGCATTACAAAAGCGTAAAAGGTACAACAAATTTTGACCTTTAGAAGACTTATTTTACTCTGAGAGCAAACCAGTTTACCTCCAGCTGGAACTGTAGTTTTTGCTGGTTTCAATGCACCAGGTAAACAAGGGTGATGCATGTCAGCAAGGAGATTTTTCCTCTAATGTTGCCAATAGACCAAACAAAACTAAACTAAACCGTCCCATGTAATTTTGAGCTATATGGTTTATAGCAGTCAATGTTTCATACCAGACTCAGAGCAAAGTTGAGTAGAGCCGTGCCGCTGTGGAACAAGACAGTGAAGAGGGTGGTTGTGGTGGAGATGAGGAGGCCAACATTCCTACTCATTACCACCCACAGAGACTCCAGGATCTACAAAAACAAGGCAACAGTAAACATGTCATCCACAGGAAAACTGTGCATCCCTTTGTGGCACAGAGCTATAAATGTGTCAGTGATTTGCATGACCTGCAGTTGTTATAACACCCATTAGAGGCTAATTGAGGCAGACATACAGTACAGTGTTCCAACGGCGTTTTATTAAAATTAACTCACTGATTCACTGAAATATAATTTTTGATACAAGGAAAACAAAAAATGTAGCACCTGATCACCCAAACCCAACCCCCACCGCTGTGGGCTTTAGCCAAATTATTTTTAAATGTCTATAACATTGCATTTGATGATGGACTGACAGATCTATGAAAATAAAATATACGTAAATCCTCTGCCTCATACAGAAGATGGTGTAAAAACACATCCGTACTTACAGACAGCAGAGTTTCAATATTTTCCTGTAGAAATGAGGCGATGTCCTTCCAGTCCAGGATGTCCACTAACCAGCTGTTCTGTCTCTGAGCCATTATCTTCTGACCACGGTGCCGTCCAGAGTGGGTCACGTTCTGGAAAATGCATGGAATATTTTATGACTTGTGCCACTGTAAACATTTTTCCTTAACATCAAGAAGTTAAACGGATTGGCCTGAACTCCACTGTTCTTATACTACCTTCACAAACCAGGAGTGGTACAGTCGGTCCCAAAGCTCCAAAACTTGTTTCTCAATCACTGCTGTGTGGTTCACCTTGTCTCCTAACATCTTATGAAGCTGTACACAGGGAAAGAGACACCAAGGTTTGCTACATAACTTGCTGTCAAACTATTTAAACTGTTTACATTTTCATCATATTTGATGTGAGATAACTCACAGCCAGTCATTATTCCCACCTTTTGTGTTATCCATTCTCTCCCATGTTGATAAACATTAGTAGCAGCTGAATTGAGAGCCCTCTGGACCACACGAGCCTCTGGAAGCCAACTAGAGGAGAACAGTGTCAGAAATAAAGGAAGGTGTCCATCAAGTAAGAAATCACAACTCCAAATGTAAAAGAAACAAATTTGAGGAAAAAAAGATTAAACTGTCATACTTTGCCCATTCTGGATGATTAGACACAGTCTCATTGATGAGGTTACTGGTTACCTCAATGATGTGAACACTCTCATGATGGACCTAGAAAGATAAAAGTTACTTTGTTGTCCAAGAGACCACGTCAGTACCAGCCCAAGTGCAGTGAGGTCATTCAGCAGAACAAAAACAGTACCATAGCAGTCAGCAGCAGCGCCATGAGGAGGGTCCCTGTGACCAGGAGGAAGATGATAAAGATGCTGATGATTTTATCCAGAGATCGCTCCAACCACACGATCATCTGCACAGACAGCGGGGAGAAGACACAGACACAAAGAAATAGGGGAAAGAGGGGAGAGCAGAGAGGTAGAATAGACACAAAGTCAGTGCTGTTCTGAAGGGGTTGAAAACATACAGTGATCAGACACATGGAGAAACCTGTGTCCTTCCCATGTGAAGAGGCCATTTTGGATTTACAAGCTGCCCCCTTGGGCCCTGAGGACAAGGTAGTTGACTGAGTGAACCAACAGCCAGGACATCTGCACACATACATGCAAGTGCAAGCAACTGAGTGAAACACTCAGGCTGTGTGCTGCTCTATTCGTGACTTATCTCTCGGTATCTTTTATTATGGAAGTATTGTGAGGCTGCCCCAGTCTCAAGTGTACATTCTGTCGTAAGGTGGTGCAATTCTTAACTCAGGTTTCTCAATGCTCCAAAACTGTATCAACAGCCAGCTTATAACAGATTTAGTCTCTATCCGTATGTGTTTGTGCCCATGTGTTAAAATCAAGTTACTAGAGTTCATGGCGAGTTACTGGAAGAGGCTCTGTTAGTGGCATAAGGACGTGCCCTAATGTTTTGCCATTACACGGACGGCGACGTGATATGGAAGTCAGTTAAGGTTTCACTCCATTTCAGCTACACACTGCAATAAAATCCTGAAACTCAGAATAATCTGTCATTTTGTAGGGTTTTTTTTGTTCCATCAATAAGGACGTACACTTATCTTAAAGAGAGTTATACTGAATGAAGTATATTAAATCCAGTAAAAACAAAAAAATGGAAACACCACATCAAAGCGGACTATATTTTGAAAAAAAACTAAATAAGTCAATTAAACAGGCAAATTAGTATGTCGGGTACCAATCAGAAATAGGGGTCTAGTTTAGAAGAGTTGTGGCGATCACCACCGCTTAATGCAACATGAGATCACTAATAAATGTCCAAATAGGCCACACACCCTATGCATTACTTACAAACACTGTATTTTATTCATACTGCAAGGGGAAAACCTTCAAAATCACGAGGAAGTACAAAAATCATGTGACAAACTATGTAATCAGAACTCTCTGAATTGGATCAATGCCACCATCACACTGTCTCAACAAAAACCACAACAAAAGCTTCATAACCCTAATCTTTTGAAAAGCAAAATAATATATATAATGCACATATAATATAATAATAAATGTCCTTGTGATAACCAAATATCAATAAAACCACAAAAAAAGTCACCTTTTAAAATTTTCCTTTTCATTTCATGCTTTAAGGAAGCCAGAGGACACCATTAATGCACCTCTGCTTCTGGCTATTTTAACATTGTGATGAACCCACCACAGTCATCTTGTTCAAGTGATAAGGTCAACTGCCTGCAATAACTGCACTGCTGAAACAGCTGTGTAATGCTATGAGGGACTTTTAGACTACTATTCAAGATGGGTTTCATGGGTTTCAATGTCCACCGTGCCCATGCCCAGATCTAAACTTAACTGAACCTTTTAAGCCTGAGGCTGGCATTACTGTATATAACTCTTACTGTCAACAAATACAATGCAAAGACCAAAACCAACAATGTGTTAGACCTCCTTGCGATCTCTTGATACTTTCCAATGTCATTATTCCAGTGACTCTCCACCCCAAAGATCCATAACTGAAGATGTAAATCTTCAAAAACAGGACAGTTATGTCCTAAAACAGCTCGCCACATAGTTTATAGCAAACCTGACACAAACAGGAGTAGACATAGATTAATACACATTTGGTTTCTTAGTAAGTGGTAATGCTAACAGGACGACTCAAAATAAACTACAGTGCCTGTGTTCATGATAATGAAGGAACATGTCACCTAATGCCATGTTATGGCTCACTAATGTCTTTTTACCAGTTTTTGGACAACGATGTCGGGCTTTGGCTACACAGATCAGATCATTGATGGTTTTGGTCTATTCATGGGATTTGTTAATACTAAGAAAAACAGAATATTTCTACCTTATCATTTAAGCAAAGTTGATGCTAAAGCACATCCTTTTGTCCCTGAAAACTAGAGCTTCTTGAGTAAACATCTAATATCCTATTACAGACAGTTCAGGCCCCAGATGACATGACCACAAAGAGAAGTGAAGCTCTTCTAAAGGATAAAACTTTTTTTTAGTTTTGACATTCACAGACTGTTTGGTGTTTCCATTGTTTTGTCCATGCCCAGCACCTTCCCACCCATAAAAGCTCCCGAGGTGTGATCACATCTCTCCAAGGGTTCTTTCTGGGAGACCATGGGCAGTGTTTCTCTTTCTACATCTCCATTAAAAACTTAAAATCAGGCTTTTTCAACTGCACTTTTCAGAAACACTGCCCTCGGCTCCCTCTCTGCTCTGCTCCGTCTACACCAGCCTCCTCTCCATGCAGCTCAGACACTCTCAAGCCAAACCTGCCAGTTAAGTCAAAGCAGGGAAGGTACAGACGGGGCTGAGGGACCAAGGAGTCCCCCCTTCCCCCGACTGTAGCTTCCTGTAAAAATAAAAGCAAGCAGCGGGAAAGCAGCGAGAGGACAGACATATAGACAGGATGAGAGGGTGATGAGTGATCAAGTGGATGGGTAAAGCGCCAGTCCAAGCTACTACAAGGTGTGCTCACGCTTTCACACACACCCACACATGTATCCAGGTGATTTTTTTCTCCTTGACTCTCACGTTCTCTCATATACACACACTCTTTCTGTCAGTCTCTCTTTCTCTCAGCACTCTGCTCCTCCAAATCATTACCTGCTTGTTAAGCCAATGCCAGAGCTTGGGAGGAGACAAGAGACATTGGGAAGATTATTATTGGAAAAAGATCTGTGCAGCAGTCATCACATGTACCCGTGCGACAAGAACACAACTTCTGTTTGGGTAGAGGCAGTGAGGGATCAGAAAGTGACAGGCAGGATTGAACTACTGACCATACAGGGAGTGTGGGATGCAAATCACTGATTACAAACACAACCACATCCCAAATCCTTCAGAACAAAGACATATTTTAGTGTGAAAGGTGCAATGAGGTCACTGATGCCATTATATAAAACCTGAGAAATGTAATTTATGTAACACCATCACTCATTCTAACACACCTCTAGTTAGGCCCAGAGTTGCTGGTATCAGAAATTTCTATTCAACACTTCTTTGTCTTTTTAAAGCAATACTAATTGATTTTGGACCGTAAGGGCAACAATACAACAGTGACATATCACCTTACAAATGTATTATGGTGCTAGCACACAATTTCCTACCTATACACCCAGAGGACACAGAGCACCATTATCACTCATTCATTCTCTCGCTGCTAAATGCTCCACTATGTTCACCAGCTAGTCACAAACTGGTTGTTTATGCAGTTTGATGCTGAGTAGCATATGTTTATCAGAGCTTAATCTGTGAAAACAGCTGCCTGCTGCTGTTGCTGCTGTTGCTGCTGCTGCTGTTGCTGTTGCTGCTGCTGCTGCTGCTGCTGCTGTTGCTGCTGGAAACAACGCTGAGGAGAGTCTGTGAAACTGAGCCATAACAACAAAGTCGAGGACCTGAAATCCAAAACAATTCACTGAAAGATGCCAAAACACTCCATAGAGCTGAGGGGAACCACAGTGTGTAGGATCCCTTTTTATCATATCTTATTAGAAGCAAATATATTTAGTATCCATAAAGACAGATCTTAAGGACATAAGGATCAATTTTTGCTGTATTATTTCAATATTTTTTACAGAATCCTTATTGACCTGTTGACATCCTGTTTATGTCACTGATAGTCACTGACAGTCTTCAATGTGGACAGTGTAACAGAAAACTGCTGTGTGCCTGGATGAGGATGTATGAAATAAGGACCACAGCAGCACCTGTAGATCGGTCAGAGGTGTTACCTTGGTGTCAGTGCGAAGCAGGAACTGAGCCAGGCCTTTGATTGGTCCAGGCAGCAGGGCCTCCTCTCGCTCTCGTCCGAACTTCTCCAGCCCCATCCACCACGAGGTAAGAGTCCGCTCAGCAAAGCTCTTCAGGCCAAAGTGGACCATCAGCTTCTTCAGCACCCACACTGAAGTATCAATGCAACATGGGCCTCAGTAGAATACACGAAGAAGCACATCAAAGGGTGTATGTATTCATATGTTTGCACATGTGTGTTACCAGCCACAGGGATAGGCAGAAGCTGTAGGATCCAGAGGTTGAGCCAGACCTGAACCAGAACTATGGCCCAAACCAGTAGAATAAAGTAGATATCACTGGCTCTGTGGGAGCTTTTCTCTTTCTGGAAGAGGCCAGCTGGTAATGATCGAGAGCCCCGAGGGAACCCAGGGGTGGCAGGAATGGGGCCCACAGACTGAACACCATCTTGGGAGAGATGAGAGGGAGGTGGCAGATGAAGCATGTAAGAGGAAGAGAAAGAAAGGAAAGGAAATTAGTTATCTATAACAAGTGCTAACCACCATGGCTGAATGGTGAAACTAAAGCAGAAGTGTCTTGAGCTGCATTTCCTCAAATTGGTGCTAGAAGCATGTTGACAGTGGAGAACAGAAATTCAATTTCTCTATTAAAATGCACAGTGAATATATTTTTACACAATCAGATAGGGGCTTTATAATCAATAGCTAGTTCTTCTTATGAAAATCCCTATGGTGACGTGCAGGTTAATGTCCACTAAAGAGAAATAAACACTTATGGAACAGTATGTTTTAGGGCCTGTTTGCTTGACCAGTCATTGTGGTTATTGATTGGTTATCCCAATCCTTCCTCCACACTCTCTCACTCCATATTAGTCTGTCGCCTAAGAGTTGCACCTGTAATAAAAGCTTCTGTAATGCACTGAGTTGAATAAACGTAAGCTATCTTACCTGTGGTAGAGTTTTCACTGGACTCAGTTTTCAGCTGAAGGTTGCTACAGGAGATTGCCATGTAAATAGTATTAGCAGCGAATGACAACACCTGCCCTGACAGCTCTCCTGGGGAAATGAGGATAGAAAGAAAACAACAGTAACTTACAAAGGCAGAGGGTGTAAAGAGCATAAAGTAACACTCTTTGTGTGTGTTTCCCATGTGATCTCATGTTCCTAACAAAAGTCCAGTGTTTCAGAGACAAACTGTCGACCTAAGGTCACTTGTGTTTTAGGGAAAAGGTGGGCAAAGAAAATTAAGGCCAGTTATAACTGAATCTAGGCGCTGGTTGAGGTTGAGGGCCAGGGTCAACAAATTATAAAAAATTGTCAACACAGGAGGTTTACTTTTCCACTGTTAAATTGTTAAATTAAAAGGATGATAGCTGAATAGCCTATGGTAGTTTATCATTTATTTTATAGGTTATTTATCAGCTTATTTGGCATTCGACCCATGAATTTTAAAGGAAAAAGCTCAAATATTTTAGGAGATTCAAGAAACTTTCATATCTGTAGGATAAATATGAAAATACAGCAGACATTAGCCTCACTTAGCATAACGGCTGGAAAGAGGGGGCAACAGCGAGCCTGACTCTATTCAAATGTAAATAAATCTACCTACCAGCACTTGTAAAGCTCACAAATAAACACACTATATCGCTATTGTTTATTCCATATTAAAAACATTTACCTGTACCCTTTTTTACCATATGTATGAGTGCCCAGTTGATGCGGAGCAAAGGCTTCTTACTGTGGGAAAATGTGAATGTGTGTGTGTCCAGAAATCTTCACCTCTTCCAGAGACAGGTGGTTTCTCTTGGGAGCCGACGATGAGGAGTATAACCACAACCACAAATATGGGCACTCTCCATGAGCCGGTCAGAGACACTAAAAACAGGCACAGAAATCAGGCTGATATCTATGTATCTCCTCTCTTCTTGCTCTTAAACTGCATGTTGTGTTGTTGACTTTACTGGTTATTATCTTGGTGGAATTGTTGCACTACTTTGTCCTGCTGGACCTGAGATAAGAAAAAATAATTTTGACCAGTTGTCTGACAACATTATTATTATAAAAGGCACATGCCAAAAAGAGAACATTTTTCTCAAATTTTCCCACAACCCCCGGCTGCTTATTCTTGTCTTGAGCAGAACTTTCTTTTTAATAGCTGTCAGCAACTTTTAACATTTCACGCCTAAAGGTCAATTTCTTTTCAGCGCCACTTGTGTGTGCTAAAAATACCTCTAAGACTTCTTCATCCTACTATGTAACTCTGCAAGTACTCCGTCTAATGGACTTGTGGACCTGTGGAGACAGCTCTCTTTATCTCAACTAGAAAAAAAACCTCGCCAGGGGGCAAAGAGGGAATTTGCATAGAAGTATGAAATGACAACCAACACGTCTGAGCAGGCTCTCCACACGTCCTCTCATCGCCCCACTCACCAATATAGAAGAGCAGGGCGGCCCAGACAGGAAGAGCCAGAGCCTTCAGGTAGCGCTCGGTTTGGGGACTCCACTTGAAACAAACTGCCAACAAGTAGCCAAACACCACAGTGCACACCTGAGGGGAGACAAAAGATTTACAAAAACACTGCCGTCCAAATCAATGACTCCAGGCGACATTTAATCAGAAGCTAAGACTCTGAGTTATTGTGGGTTTTGCTTTTCACATTTCAAAAAGAGCTGAAACAATGAGTTGATTATTATAAACTAATGAATACTTAGTGTCAATTGGCAACTATTTTGATGGTCAATTAATTATTTAAGTATTTTTTTCTGCAAACGTTCCCCAATTACAGCTTCTCACATGTGAGGACAGAGCATTTTTCTTTGTTTTAAGTTACTGTAAATCTTTGAAGATGGCACCATAGGTTCAAAACCCAAATTGCTTGTTTTGTCTAAGCAATTTGAAAATGGCACCTTGGACTTTCAGAAACTGTGACAGACATTTTTCACTATTTTCTGGCATTCTGATAATAAAAATTGTTAGTTGCACCCCAAATTTAAAGCGTTTTGTCAAATATAATGCGTAAGAGCAGCTTATTGCACTGGAGATTTGTTTAATTTAAATGTGATTTTGCATCATAGATTATCAGAATATTGTTCTTGTAATCCTGTGATATTGCTTCCAAATGTACCAACTTTTCCCTAAATCATTGCACATTTCAAAAACATAAGTGATCAAACTGTACTTTCTGGGCTTTCCAGAAAAGCATGAAATGTTTTGCTGCGGTCTGTAATCAGCTAGTAACAGATGTCTTGGCCAGTTCCACTCCACACAAAGACATATTTCAATGTAATTTAACATAGTGTCCTCTTTCCTATTTATAGACAAGGGCCCTGTGTCAGTCTACCTCTGCATTTAGAGAAAGAACGGGCTGTCTGAGGAGGAACATTTAATGTGATTTGTATCTAGTCAAAGCGAGGCCAGCTCAGGGCCCTGCAGCTGTTCTGGAATAATAAGGTATTGATTGATCAAACACTGGAATTGCAGGAAATTAGATCAGATGCCATACAAATTTAGGCATGTATTCCAAGAAATCAACTTTCTGCTTTGAGGTTAATTGAATAAGCCCTTAGATGTTCAAGGAAATAAGATACAAGTTGCAGCTCTAAGTCAGCCTGGAACGCTTTTAATCTAGTACTATTGTTTATTGGCTATCATTTACTGTTTATGGGGTTGTATTGTGATGATTTGATGATATTATGTCATACTTAGACAAGGTTTTATTGTCAATATTAATGATTCTGAGCAAGAAAATTTAAGTTTATGTTGAGTTGCAAATAACAATTATTTTTACTGGCTGGACCGCAACAGCAAGGCCAGCCCCAAAATCACACACACAATATACTATATTGTATTACTAATTTTACCAAATTAGAAATACAGTATTACTAATTTAACCAAATACCACAGGAATGAGGATAAGACAAGTATAGCAGCAGCAACCTTGAACCAAGTAAAGCTACCCATAATCCAAAGCAGCAAAGGTATAAGAGCCCCAGAGGAACTAAGGTGTAAACCATTCAACTAAGTTGTTTAGGGACCACATTTACTGAAAGCTAAGGGCCTGGGGCCAAACATTTCCCTGAGCTATTTTCATTATGTACACTTGAAACAACATGGCACCACATTTTCAAAACTGTTATTTTGCCATATTGCATTTGATTTTCTGTTCAGCATAAACTGTGATATTAACAAAAGTAAACACATAGTTTTCTACAACACTTAATGTCAGCTGTCTGGCATATAATTTGATTAATTCTGCCATCTCTTACAAAGCTACATTAAAGTATTTTTTAAGCGACAAAAAGAGACAACAGAAGAGAGCAAAGAGAATGCAAAAGTTCAAGATGAACTGAACTTGCCTGAGCATTTGATGCCAGACAACTAGGGATAGGCATCGTTAGGATAATGTATCATTAAGCAAATTTCAACGGCATTGTTTTAAACAAATCACTATTATAGAATGACTTTATAATAATGGAAATGTAAAACAAATGTAACACACAATGATTTGCTACAGGACTTTTTCTGGGACAGTATTTATAAAGTGCAATAGTTTTAGTGAAGCCCCCACATCACCATGTCACCAGAGCTGACCTCGCCCAACCTGTAGCATCCTCAATGGCTAACACAGAGGACCTTTTGTCACCAAAAGGGAAAGTGTGTGTGTGTGTGTGTGTGTGTGTACCCAGTTGCCACTGTCCATTCACTTACCCACATAGCGTGGAAACAGTCCAGCGCGGCCCCGATGATTCCACAGGCGTGCCCGAGGATCACCTGCATGCCGGTGACGCTCCAGGAAAGGTAGAGGAAGTAAACTAGCGGCGCCCCGGCCCCGATCACCAGCAGCACCGTGAGCCTCTCCAGCACCAGCCTGCCCATCGCCTCCACCCCGTAGTTTACGCACCACACCGGGACCAACAGGGTGCCCACCAGGATGGGCGTCCCGGTGTCTTGCAGGCCGGAGAGCCATGAGCGGCCGAGCCGGGCCAGGGAGTACTTGAAGGGGTGGAGGAAGGTGCCGCAGAGTACTGCCCAAAGCAGCGGGCGGAGGAAGGCCTCCAGGATAAAGTAAACCAGCACAGCAGCCCCGCAACAGATAGCCACAAAGATCATCGCCCCCGTGTTGTAGAAGGCCTGTTTGATGTTTTTGTCAAACTTGAGGGAGGAGGGCTGCGTTAGGAGCTGGCTCATCATCCCGACGGCCGGCTGGACACTCTCGGAGAAAGAGACAGTGTGAGGGCGCTCAGTGTGAGGGCTCTCCGGCGGAGAGACAGCGGCAGGCTCCGGCGCTGAGTCTTCCTCGTCTGCCATGTTCCACGATTCCGCCTCTGCTGTCTAGCCGGGAGATGTGCCGCGTGAAGGAGGAAAACATATGACGTAACCCAACGAAACCCCCAAGGGCACTATGGGCAATGTAGTGTAAATGAAAAACAAGCCACTTCCTTTATTTTATAACACGGTTCCAAAATTGATAGCCTACATTAAGCATGTTTATGAGATGTGTCCTATTACCTTCGGTGCAGATATCTGTAACAGATATTTGTTGTTTTTTGTGGTTTTCTATGGGGAATAAGCAAGACATCTGAATTTTTAAACAAGCTACAACACTGAAACTATTGAAACTGGTATCGATAGCGCCACCGTGTGGTGAGTTTACAACTATTGCAAAAATATTTTTGGTTCTTATCTCTGAAGAGATAGCTGAAGCCACGCCCGTTTGCGTCAAATAAATCTCCCACAATTTTGAATTTTTTTGCTAGACAAACTCTTTTCACTCCCTCACTGACATCCAAGCTTCACCAAACTTAGTACATCACGTTTAGACTACTTGGTTCATGGCTTTTGTACTGTTTGTCTGACAGAGCTGCCTGTTCATGCCCAGCAAGATCTGTATTTTCTTAAATATATTCTACTGTATTTTCTTACAATCTTTATTGATAATTAACACAGTCGTGCCAGATTGTTTCAGTGGGAGGCATTTTAACATATCCATTCATTTTTAATACAGATCAAAAGACCACATTGACAACGTCGGGGAAAAAATGAATAACAAGGGCCATAACCAGTACTTAAAGTAAGGCGTATTGATCCAGTGTAGTTAGAAGCTTTTGGTTACAGCTACTATTTGATCTATAAATGGTCCTTATTTATACATGTTATGCATGGAAACAGAGAAGGCAGGTCCCTAAAAACAACACTGATGTATTCTTTCTCTCAACTACACCAAAAAGGTTTCTGTTGGGGGTAAGACCAAAATTTTGATTTGGGGCTTTTTTTTTATATTTTCAAAATTTTGTTTTTTTTTCAAATGTAAGTTGAGGTAGTCACTGATTGTTAACCTGGAAGACTATTTCCCTCACCTGACTTCTACCAAAATATACGAGGGACATGACATCAGTGTCTCAGTATTAGCTACAGTCCTGAATATCCTTATAATTCTACTAAAAATATGTCCAATGGCTTTATTTGGCTATTTGTATTTTCTTGAATATGCTGTATTGTATTTTCTTAAAATGTTTATTGATAATAAACACAATCATGGCAGATTGTTTCAGTGGGAGGCATTTTAACATATCCAGTCATTTTTTATACAGATCAAAAGGCTACATTAACAATGTGGGGAAAAAATTAGTCCATGCCCAAGGAAAAATGTTCTTGAATCCACAGTTTGTTCTTGTTCAGTGTGTTGTTGCACACGTAGGCAACAAGAAGTCATGTAGCAGTCTCTCTCTGTTACACAGTCACAGTGCCACAGTACTGATAAACAAACCCAACAGCCACTGTGGTGAAAGATGGGGGAAGAGCTGCTAACGGAAATTGTGGAAAAATAAGATGAGCCAAAAAAAAAAAAAATGTTAATGAAAATCTTTTACATGGTAAATGCTTATACAGTAGGCAGTGCCTCAAACCTTGGAAACTATATTTTGATAGTGCAAACCACTAAATATACCGTCTTTTTTCCTTTTAAGCATGTGTAAAGGGACAGGAAGAGTGTGTGCAAACGGTTGTGAGCTGTGTGGTTTCTTTTGTCCTCAGAAAACTTTTGTGTTTTAGCCAAGTTCAACATGAGGCCACTGTCTTCTCATCACCAGTGAACAGTGGATTTTTGAAATCATTCCCAGATTTTCAAGTGCATGCAACATTTTCAAAGATTTGTGATTTATTTATTGGCATGTGTACTCTTCATATTTTGTTAAATACTTGGAAGTTATAATAAATACTGAAAATAATTGGCCTATTTATAATATAACACTACTCTTATTAGACCTCTTGTTTTGTACTGACACCAGTACATAACACCTCTACAGTATAGGTTTAATAATTTGTCAAGATCCTCTGTATGAGTTCAGAGTAATGAATATATATTCTCTATAATGTTTCATATATCTAACACTGGGTCTATTTGTGCAAAGTGAACACTTGAATGTGGCATCTAATGAAAATGGCAACTTTCTTTTATTGCTGCTTCATCTTCTCTTCCCTTTTTTCTCCAGTCTGTGCTCTGCTGTGCTTCATTATGGCGTTCCCATTAGTAGGTAGAAGGTGAGAGCTACAATGAGCAGTAAGCAGAGGGGAGAGTTGAAGGTCTGGTAAGCTGTGGAAGGCATGAAGATGTCCTCGTACTTATAGATACTGATCATGTGGTCACTGACTGGCGGACTGTCAATGTCATGCCTTGTGATGGAACCTGTTGGAAAAGGTAACACAATGTAAGATGGCATCGAAGGCAGAAGGAACATTAAAAGGAGTTGACTTTATGCTGATACTCAAACACTCACCTTGAATGGCAGGACCCCATGCAAACAGGTAATACCATGACAGGTGTAAGTCCACAAGCGTTTCCTCTCTGGGGACATACAGCGGACGCTTGAAACGGCAGGTCACCCGATTGTTCTCAAAAATGCCCTCCTCATCTCTGGCTGGGTTCCTCTTGATCTCCTTGGCCCACTGACCAACGTTGTAGAAGTGATGGATCCGCACACGACCATTGTCATCATGGACACAGCCCATGACATCATCTCCTCCCTGAGGATATAGAAATGAAATAACAAGGAATAAAGAGCATTGTTCCAAAATGCTACATATTTATTTCTTGAACAAAAGATTCTCTAAACTTTTAATAAAACGGTTCATTATACTGCACATGAGCACCGTGTGAGTCCCATGTTTTTCCTGGGATAGCCAATATGGGCAAAATAAACAACAACAATAACTGATAAACCCTCTTTTCATATTGATATATTGTACAGCACCAAACTTACTGAAAAACTGTCACAATGAACTGCATGTTCTCTGGATGTCAAACTCGTCCAAGCTCATTAATGGGAGAACTGTTTGCAATTTTGTAATTGTTTTGTATAGTTAGTTTAACTGTGACAAACACTATGAAAATATGATGAGCCTTCATTATAAGGCTCTAAGGACTTGATTGTAATGATATATATTCATATTGATTGATAGGGATGTTTATCAAAAATAATTAATGTTAAATAAAAGGTTTTAGTGTAAATTATATTGAATATCTTTAGTGTAAGTTAAACATCTTAAAAGAGTGGTTCCCAACTTTCTTGGCTTATGAGCCATCACAATGAAGTAATGTCTACTACTTTATTATTCTAATTATCTTGTAACTGATATTTATCTTGGGATCCCCCACTGCCTTAAAGTATGATGTATAAACTCTGTACTTAAATGTCTTAGCATACTTAATAGAAAGCTTTTAACATTCATGCTAACAAAGTTTGAAAAAGATGCCTCACACTGTGTGAAAGGTGGACTATTCATTTTGGAATAAAAGCCTTAAGACTTCATTTTTGTCTAGTTAATGATTTGGTTTTATAATTAACTGACTGCACGCTCTTTAAAGTTGCATCATTTTCAACATATGCATGTGTTTGATTATGGATTACTGAGTGTGCATTTGCAGTAACTTGGTCTGATACATCAAAAGTCAAATTAGCTCTGTTAAAGCAGACACAGGAATTTCAGTCTCAGCAGTCAGAGAGGTCGTACAGCTGCTCACCATTTTCTTGTCAGAGGAGAAACCTACAGCCACCCAACCGTCAGTGTCTGCGCTCATCTCATACTCCACGTCTGTACCAATGCGACGATAACTCAGAAAGTAGTCACATGTCTCTGCATCACAACCTGGCTTCCCATACCTGGATATACACAAATACACACACATATTTGCTCACAGATTACACCATCAAACAGAGCTCAGTGGAGAACATTTGATTAACAATATTCAGAATATTACAGTAATCAAAGAGCCAAAGTAGATCAACATTTAAGTGAATTTCATCCAGGTTTCAGAGAAAAAAGACTAGACAGAGGAGAGTTTCCATGTTTAGCTCCTGCCTAACAGAATCTCTGTAGTCAGGCCACAGCAAACTAGGATACAGCAGCCCTGGGGAATACAGCTGCACTGGAGCTCTGTTTTCAGAAGGAGAGAGCTGGCAAAATATGTATCCTTCTCTGACCTTATGCAGCCTTTGGTTACTCCACAGTCGCTGACTTTGATCTTGGCAAAGGGATCCACTGGTGGGGCGGTGGGGAACGGATAACCTGCAAAATGCAAAATCAGCAACTCTGTTGGTTCCACACAAAAACAATTGATGCTTGTTTTCAAGACAGTCAAAGGGCCAACTAAGGGGAGGCCATCTGCACTGTGCGTGTGTGCGTGCGTGCGTGCGTGCGTGCGTGTGTGTGTGTGGTAGGCAACTATCACCAGGGAGCTGGCCTGGGTGCTGAAAGGCCCAGTGCACAGGAGACAGTTGGATGCAAGACAAAATAAACAGCACATGTTGAGTTTCTACTTACAGTCTCTGTTTATTTGTCTCTAGCCTGTGCTCTGTGCTTCTATGTCATAGCTATAGCTAGCTTTGACTGCATGTAAACAAAATCCACTTGCTGGGAATTTTTAGTAAACCGGACTAGATCCTTACCATCATCGGACAGATATCTGGACTCCAGGAACTCAGAAGCAAAAGTGCTGTAGGAGTCCTTGTGTGGCTCCTGGTGTCCCGGCTCTCCGTGCTCCCCGTGGCCTGCCCGGAGTGCTCCTTCATCGGTGGGGCTCGGCGCGACCCCCCACCATCCGCTCTGGATCAGCAGCACCACCAGCTGCACGAGCCTCCGCAGGAAAATCATGGCCAATAAATCAGAAAGCACCAATATACTAAACCATCGTGAAACCAAACCGGATCCTTATTGTGCTTTTCATTTCGGTATCCCCGCAGGTAGCCATCGCAGCGTCACAAAAATCATCTCCGCATCCTAATTGTCTGTTTGGCTGTTTATTCGCAGGGATGCGGGGGGATTCAGCGCCGCGGACCGTGCGATTAAGACGCTAATCCTACTTTAAATTACCCAGATTCGTAATCTTACCATCTAATTCAGATACACGCCCATAATCCTCTTTGAAATCCGAATCTAGATGGCTAGGCCACTAGTGCTCATTAATCTTAACGTATTTTTCTGTCGGAGTATTGGCTGGATGAATGGTTTCGTCCGGTCTGCCTCTTCACTCCCTCCTCAGTCAGTCAGTCACAGTAACGTCCAATGAGGAGCCGATACGTGCTGTATCAGGATCAATCAATTGGGGATTATGCCCCATAGACACCGTTAAAGAGGTAATTTTAACACCGATGACACGCAACATTTCACGGATTTGGAGTAGCCTACATGTTAAGTATCATTTGATGTGATTCTGTAAAGATCAAAACAATGAACATGTTTAAATAAACTACCAGGGTCACAGCCAGGATTTTAGTCCACCCAACACTCAGAAGACAATAGACAAAGAAAGAAAGTTTCTAAAATTACTATAATACATCACTTGAACGCATATTTCTTGTCAGTTATCTGTTTAATCAACATTTTCTGTCAACTTTATTTTCAAAAAACAAGGATTTAAATGCTTTGCCAGGAGTAAAATGCTAAATATGGATGAGACCATTGTGTCCTCAGCTGTAGCCTCTACCCTGCTTATTGCACCATTATGCTTAACCTATCCCTAAACTGCGCTCCAATGTGTATTTTTATGCAAGTCCAGATCTGGATGATATTTTAAAAATGTATAAAGGATTGTGCAGTCTTGTGAGTGCATTATTTATTTAATATTGTGCAGCTCAGCTTTAATTTGTGAATTTGTGTCACAGTGTTCCCATGAGTCTTATCCCAGCTGCTTTAGGAACACTGCAGTGGTGTACCTGCAGCCCTGCTGAATTTCTAAATTCATACACAGCACACGATTAGACATGACTGTATACATGATTTGAATCTGCGAAGATGCATTGTTTCAAATTGACAAAGGGGTAACTCTTCTCATATATATCATCTGACCATCTTTGCTTGCACCCATCGATTTTCCTCCATCCTGTCTGTCTCTGTGGTTGTACACAATCCTGCCACTTGATGGTGATATAAATCCACAGTTTTAATTTCATTTTCAGGTCTGCTTGGGAAGACTGCTCTTGGAGTACCATCTAACTGTTCCACTCTCACTTTTATTTTATTACAACCAAGAAAAGACCCACACTTTCTAACTGACACAGCACAGTATCTTACATTGTCTCTGGTTGACTGATGGTCTTATCATGGTTTTTGTTTTACTTCTGAGTTTTACCTACACATTTGTAAGGATTGCAGTCACCTCAGCAGGCTTGTGTCTTATTAGAATAGCAGCTGATTAAATCCTGGTAAATCATGAAACTTCATCTGTAGCTGTTGGATAATTTATCACTGTACCCTTGCTAAAATATACATCACAGACTTGTAAATGCCTTTGACTCATTAACACACACAAGGGTTACGGTTTATATTTTCAGTACTTTAATATTTCATGAGTCAGTCCATTTAGTCTACACTCTCCATTAACTGTTAAAGTTTAACACTACTTGCAAGCTGGACAGAGCATCACAGGGAAATTTAAATTTGCATCAAAATCTTATAGAAATCACAATGATGGTCGTGACACCCAGATCCTTTGAAATAAATGTAATACGTAATATTAAATTGGTGTTGTAATACATTTTGCAGACAACATATTTAATGTAGGCATTATATCACACACATATATTTACACAATAGTGCAAATTTTGGTTAATTAATAAATATAAAAATTAAATACTGTATATTTTAAAAGAAAACTAAAACAAAAAAAAACGATATAGTATAACAAGTTACTTTAATTTTTTACTTTTCAGTATTTGGCCAAAAAGTTACCATGTCAGAAATCCAAGGAGTTTCACAAAAAGAAAGAAAATTTTGCTGTTAACACTGTGTCCTGTAGGTGATGCTGGTGTTTCACTGTGTGTAAGAGAGTGAAAGTGTACAATGACCGCCAGAGAGTGACTGACATCAATCTCACAAACACACTCAAATATACAGCCTAGCAATGTAAATGGTTTAAAAAAAAAAAAAACCCAAACACATGAAGATTGATGAACATCTGCACAAAGACTGAAATAATACAATGATTACACTCATATGTTTATAAACCTTTAAAAAAAAAGGAGACCACCTTTGCACTCTGAGATTTCATGCCTGTTCCAGCATGTTTGTGAACATGCTTCAATGTGTGTGTCTGTGCTTCTAAGCTTATGCTGGACTGTGACCAGGTCTGAAGAACATCCACTCATGCATGTAAAACATGTGTTTTTTGTATCATGCCTGTGCACATACGTGTGTGTACATACGAGAGTGTGTGACCTTTAACCTCTCCTTTCTTAATACCATCTCTCTCTGCAGACACAAATCAACCTGATCAATCGCTCCTCTTATTCTCAATCCGCCCAATTATCCCTCGTTTATCCTCCTATTATTTCCACTTCTACTCCAAACCTCTCTCTCTCTCTCTCCCTCTCCTTCCCAATTACCATTCCATGTAGGGAGCAATGCTTGCTGGGTAATGAGGGACTCTGGGCGTACCAATCTTATCTTAATAGCCTTAAAGGGCCACTCATTAACACAAACACTCACTCTGTCTTTCGCACTCGCGCGCGCGCGCGCGCGCGCACACACACACACACACACACACACACACACACACACACACACACACACACACACACACACAGCACACACACACACACACAACATTCTGTCCACCGCAAACACAATGACATAGAGAGAGATGGAGTGACAGAAAGAGGGAATGAGCGAGGGACTTGATGGAAGCAGTAGGAGAGAGAGCGAGGGAGAGAATGAGACAGGAGAGAGGAAGGGGATGGTGGGAGAGAAGCAATGAGGAGAGGGTGAGGCACGCCGGGGGAAGAGGAGGAATGAGGGGGGAGTCTGGTAAATGTCAGCGGTGTGTCTCCTGGGCCTGAGAGACGAGTTAGTGACAGGAGAACAATGGCCGCTGGATCCATTCAGAAACACAGCTGCTATGAGTGCATGCCTAGATCTGTCGTCTGTTTAGCCATCAACCAGCACTTGTAAAGGCAGAACTAAACACATACACACACACTGATACAAAAATGCATTCCTGGTACACATCCAGCCACACACAATTGTGCATCCGGACACACAAGGTAAGCCCTGGATGTTATAGGGGATCAGTCGCGATGTGGATGGCTTAGTCAGGGCTGTCAGTCAGTAACAGCCCCTGCAGACTCATGTAAACTGGCCAGTTGAACATAAGTCTGCATACTCATATCTTTTCTGCCACTGCTTCTTTTCTTCCCTCTGTCACCAAAGGATAAAGCGGGCAATAGTCTATATTTTCATTCCTGTCAACAAAACTGTGAAGGGGACCAAAAACAACAAGGAATTCATCTGACTAAGTAAGTCACGAGGCCCGATATGGTTTATTCCTTCCTTTGTCCAAAAACTATTAAAAATGCATAAATTACATGTTTAAGGGTGATACATTCAGGGCAGAAAAGTCAGACAGTACACTGAGACAGTCTAACATATTGTTGGCTTCAATCTTTTCACGGGATTTGTTGACAATAACAGAAATATTGAACAACTCAAGCCTTACCTTTTAATCCAGGTAACTGCCTCCTCTTTGCATGTATATCTATGTATAAAATGTTTAACCTCTCCTTATTCCTTTTGTTGTATCTAGTTGCTCATGTCTAATACTGTATTTGCAGCAGAATTGCCAAGGTTTCATTTTATTCCCTCACAGAGCTGCAGAAGTAAACAGAAGTGTTTTGTTTTGGGTTTTTTATTTTTTTTTTATTTTGGCACCTGAACTCTATGTTGGATACCTCCCACCTCATTCTCTCCTGGACAGTAGCTAGATCACTTATCGACTCAACCTGGCTTATAACGCCAAGCTATTACCTCTGTCTCTAACTCTCTCACACACACAAACAGTCATAAAGTAGGTCTGTGATCTAGCTGCGGGCCTCCGCACCCCCAGGGCTTCATTTAGGAGTTGTCAGAAATCACTTTACTCACAGAAGACAGTAAGCACTATTGGCATATTCTTCTGTCTGCAGAGCAAATGCAACCCTACCCGACCCCTCCCAACTTTACACTCGCCAAGACACTAAAAGAGACACATCTCTATCAGTGTACGCTTAATGCTCTCATTGGGTAATTCTCTGTGACAGTGGGATATGAACAAAAGCATGTCTGTCTTTGTCTTATTTGCATAGCGCGTTTGATTTGGGCAGTTTGTCTGTTGGGGTCTCTGTGTGTACCAAAGGCTGAAAGGTTCCATTGTGCTGATGAAGTGTTTGCTTTAGAGATAAGGAGGCACAGATGAGACATCGATCAGCACTCATTAAACACCTTCAACTGTGGTGACCCACACCAGCACACAAACACAAACACAGAGCCTCACATTCACATGCACACACTCACCTACATGCACAGGTACAAGATGACAAACAGAAAAATGTATTGAAGCTCTGAATGTATTTGATCTCATTCTAGCCTCGCATACATCGGTCACCTGCCATGTGAGTGGCTCTCAAAGCTTGTATTGACAGCTGACTTAAAATGCTTGTTGTCAGTAGACTTATCCATTAAGCTGTGACACTGCTCTCTCTCCATATAGACATGCCGACTGGCCAGGGCCTTAAGCAGTGATTATGGTGTTGGGCAGTGGGAGCTGGGGGCTGTACTGTCATTAGTCTGGTTAATCAGAGCCTTGCTCCAGGTTAAGCTCCGCAGCCTCAAGAGACAGGCTGATGAGCTGAGAGCCGTGCCCAGCCTACAGTTCTCGGGTCTGGGCTCCAGCGGCTCCCCTGGCCCCTGCCTGCTCCAGCCAGTAATCTATAACTCTCCCCTGGAGCACCGCGCGGAGGCTCAGCCTCCTGGACAACACTGACACATGATGCATGGTAATGAGACACACACAGAATGACACACTGTCACACACACCTGTTCGCACATACCCACACTTCCCACTGATGCAGTGTTAGCAATCATCACTGAGTTTTTGTGAGTTTGCTCTGCTGTTCTTCCAAGAGCGGTGTATTATGCTCAATAACACTCCAAACAAGCGAGTCCCTCTGA